CACCCCCCAAGACTCCGCCGCCGCCGGATGGGCGGGTGTGGTTTGGGGGGTAGTAAATTCCAATACCTATGAGGGTTCCAAAGGTTGAGAAACACTGTCTTATACCAAGGAGAATCAAGGTGGGGTAATCTTGAATTTCTTTCTTATCCCTTCCTGCTTGTCCAGACTAAATTTGCCTAACAACTGTCAGATATCTTCTTCAAGGTCATCTCCAATCTTCACAGCAAGTTAGTTTAGAGTTGAGTTGAGTTGAGTTGAGTTGAGTTGAGTTGAGTTGAGTTGAGTTGACTTGACTTGACTTGACTTGACTTGACTTGACTTGAGTTTACTGCCTTCGAGTCAGTCTTGGCTTCGTATTTATTTCCGGAGCCCTTCTTCCAAATGATGCCAGTATTTTTCAGCTGGATTTGTGCAGCAAAATCTGGGCTGGCTCTGATGAGAGAGGTATAGGGGAGGAATGGGGTTGGCCTAAGCATTGTCCACCCTGGTTGCTTCTCATCATCTCCACTTGCAATATTCCTATTTACGTACTCTGCAGGCTTGTGCAGCAGAAGAGTTGCAAATGTTGGCTTCATCATCCCTGTCTATCAAACTGTTTCCTTCATGGGGCAAAAGAGAGGAGGGATCACCTGTTGTCCCCCTTTCCATCTCTGTTCTGCTACTGTTCTGCACATAAGAGGGTTAAGGCACAAATAACCAAAGGCGTCTACCTCTGGAACTGCTAATCACCCACACTATTGCTAATCATGTTTAATATGCTAATCACCCACATTAGAATTTTTTTCCTGGTGGCTCTAGAACATTTGGTGTCCTTTTGAGATATAGAGATAGATAATGTCAGTTCTTGCCCATTATTCAGTCTCTTTCTCTCTCCCTTCTTTTGCCTACCTTTTTATTCTGTTTGGCAATGAAATGGGTGTTTGCTGATGCTTTATATAAACATCAGGTTATATATATTTTTGGTAGCTGAACCGGCTGACGTGGGTGCATGCTCTGATACGGACACAGGAATTGACTGGGAATTGATTGACAAACTAAATGGGAAATTATTATTGAATTAAAATTGGTAATTTTTCTAACAGGAAAAGGATTTATTTTGGAAAATGGATCTCAAAGATTAGTTCTTGGGGGGGACATAAAAGTGTGGGGGGGGCTTGGATGCCATGTAGATATGATCTGCAAACTCAGTTGACTCCAAACAGTGATTAACCCTGTAAAGACATAAACTAGTTAATGGGCCTTCTGGCTTGTTCTCATGCACATTTTGTTCCTTTCTCTCTCTTAATAACATCTATACATAATGGTTAGAATGGCAAATTAGATGCTGGAATGGAAAATCATTCAACCACAAAGCTCAGAGAACAACTTTGGGCCAGCCTCTTTCTCTCTTCCCAGCTCTTGAAATATATCTATATCTATATATCTAATTTATAATAATAACAGCAACTAAGTACTGTAAAGCCTCAATAATAATAATAATAATAATAATAATAATAATATCCATAGGTGGATAAAAATGCCAAATCCAATCTAAACATCTGGCTGGCTGTGCAACCACCAATAATATCACACTAAGTCAACGGTGCATACTTCTGACTCAACAAGCATAGGATTATTTGGCTGAAATAACACAACAAATCAATAATCGGGCTATACCGCCATTTTTAAAATGTGGAAAAAAACCACAACAGCGTGCAAAAAGCATGTTTTTCTTAATTACCGTTCCTTTAACCATTGCTGAAGTTTTGTTTTTCTTTTCCTGTGAGTGTGCGTGTTTCCTTAAGCCCAGCCTTCTAAGTAGACAGAAAAGCGGGAGAATGCGTCTCGTAAGCGGAGGACGGTTTTACACCACGCGCACAGCCACGAGGCTTGCTGGCTGTCTTTTTAAAGCTAACGATCTTTGCTCGGCCAGATTTTGGTCTGAGCGGGGCCTGGAACGTTTAGCAGTGCACCTGTTACAGCTAAGCGTGGCTTGAAATCTGCGTAGGCTGAACTGGGTTTGCGGGTGTGAGAATGCATGTGGGCAGATGGTCTTCCTGCTCTTCTGAAAGCAGAAGAAAGAACCAGCGGCAGCGAGGAAAGAGATGAACAGGCGTTTTTCTCAATGGTGGGCGGCGCGTTCCCTCAGGTAGGCTTTGGGCCAGAGGTCAAGAACCCCGCCGAACACAAGAGGAGCACATTCACCACAGGCCAAAGGGAGTGAAGCAACAGACATTACCGTCGAAGCATCCCATCCCGCTGGCAGAACATTGAACCCAGAGTTCAAAATTACCCAACTGCACGGCTGCCTCAGTTTCCCCTCTGACACTCTTCCCCATTTTGCCTATTTTTTTCAGGGTCCTGCCCAACCTTTTTACAGCGGCAGGGGAGAGAGCAGGCAAACAGAAAGTTTAAACTCGTACGGTGACGTGCCAAAGTGCTGACTTAGGCAATTCCGAAGGCAGACCCAAGAACGGCGCTTGCAGAAAGGACGACGGCCCTGGTTTCCTGCTCCCCGTCGGGAGCTCGCAGCTTTTGCAGAAAGCACATTTGGGCCTGAACGCTCCCTTGCAGCCCGTTCTGAGCGAACTGGAGCCATCGATGAGCCTCGGGGCCTTTCCCCGCCGAACAGGGGCACGCTTCCCCCCTGCTTGGGAAGTCAGCCAAAGAGCAAAGCAGCGTGAAATTTGCTGTCCCAAGGACCAAGTCCTGCAGGCCAGCCTCTGTCTCCTCCTCAGATAGGGTTGAAATGGGGGGCCTGGGGGGGGGCAAAAAGAAAGAAAGAGGTTGCCAGGCAGGAGATGTTCTGCGGTGGTTCGATGCAAGCGGGCAAAGCTGTTGTCAGTTACTGTTTTGATAGTAATAGAAGCTGTGGGGTTCCTTCCCACTAGTTAAAAGAAACTCAGCAGCGTTGCGGTTTTTCTTTTTAGAATGAAACACACATGTGCTCAAGAGAAGGAAGTTGTTTTCTGACAATCGACTTGTGGAACTGCCCGTCACTAGATAGTAACGATAGCTGAACTTCTGATAACCCTGTGGGAGACCAGCGGAATTCAGCTGAGGAAACCATCTTTTCTGAGCCTATCTGAGATGAAAAGTTCCTTTGTCTCAGCTTTCTTTGCTGAAAAGTTCCTCGAAACTGTGGGATTTCCCCCCCCCGCCCCGTAACTTCTGCTACCACAGATGTTCTCTCCTCTGTAGGAGCTTGGAGTGGGCCCTACTTTATCATCTTCTTCCCCTTTGCAAGTTGGAGCATCCTGTTACAACCCCTTAAAGCCAACTCTGATCAAACTCTTTGAAAGAAATGGGTGCCTTTCAACAGATCTCCCCCCGGGGTGTCTGGTGGGGATAAAACCCCCGTGCAATTAAAGCTCCTACCATTTTTGACAGGTGTCACTTTTAACACTGTGATGTATCAGGGCTTCAGTGGTTTGGTTCAGCTGCCCCACAGTTGCATCCGTGGCCCATTGCCTCCTTTCTCCATACTGATTGGTGCACACGTGGCCTCACATATTGACCCTCTCCTTTTGAACCATTCTTTGGGATTTGGTGGCACAGTGAAAGCTGGCCATAAGCTCCTTCTTGAGAAAGTGGAACAATGTGGCATGTGCGGTCTCACTACCAGATGGATTTGCAGTTGGTTGAACAACCATATCCAACAGATGGTCCTTCATGGATGGATGTCTGCATGGACAGAAGTACACAGGGGTATAGCCCAGTGTTCTTCAACATGTTCATAAATGAGGGGATTGGAAGGACACTTAGTAAATTTGCAGCCCCTACAAAGCTGGGGGGAACCTCGAAAAACAGGCTCAAGGTCCCAGAGGATCTTGATAGACTTGAACACGGGGCTCTTTCCAGCAAAATGCAATTCAGTGGTGACAAATGTAGGGTTCTGAACTTAGGTAGGAAAACATCAGATGTATAGGTAGAAGATAGGGGGTACCTGGCTCGGCAGTAATATTTGTGAGAAAGATCTGGATGTCCTGGTGGACCACAGATTAAGCGTGAGCCAGCAGTGGGCTGCCCCTGAGAAAAAAGCCGATGCAATCCTAGGCTGCAACAACAGAGGTATAATGTCGAAATTGTGGGAAGTGATAGCATCTCTGTTGCGCTGGTCAGACCGCATCTGGAAGACAGTTGACACAATATAAAGAGGATGCTAAGGGGATGAAAAGAGTGGAGAGAAGAACAGCAAAGATGGGGAGGGGCTTGGGAGCTAAATCTAACTTTGTGGAAAGTGATAGTTTTGCTCTACCCTGTATGGGTCAGAGGACACTTGGAATATTGTGTCCACTTCTGGTCACCACAATCCAAGATGGAGGTTGAGAAACTGGAAAGGGTGCCAAGAAGAGCAACAAAGATGGTGACGGACTTGGAGCCACATCATATCAGGAGCAGTTAAAAGAACTGGATCTGTTAAGCCCAGTGTCTCAACCTTGACAACTTGAAGATGCGTGGACTTCAACTCCCAGAATTTGCTGGCTGGGGAATTCTGGGAGTCGAAGTCCACACATCTTCAAGTTGTCAAGGTTGAGAAACACTGGTTTAACCTAAAGAAGGAAAGGCGAATGGGAGGCATGATGGCACTCTTCCCATCCTTGAAGGGCTGTCCCAGGGAAGAGAGGGTGGATTTATTCTCCATAGGATATAACCTGGGACAAGAACCAACGAGTGGAAGCTTTGCAGAAGGAGATCCAAACTTGAAATTAGGAGGAATGTTCTGACCATGAGACGATGAAGCAGAGGAACAGCCTACTTCTTGGAGTCTTGGGGGCTCCATCACTGGAGGCTTTCAAGCCAAGGTTGGGCCACCACCCTGACTGGGAGAGTTTGAGGATTCTTGCCTTGGGCAGGAGGTTGGACTAGAAGATCTTCAGGATCCCCTCCTGACCCTAGGATTCTCTGAAGTCTTTAACTCCAGTCTCTGAAGTAGGGAGTAGAAACCAGATCCATCCTAGGTCCTCACAAACTCCGTATAGGTGCCTTTAACCTATTACTGCCTCCATGAGAACTCGAAGCAAAACGACCCACATATCCCCAAAGCGGCCAACACACGAGGAGGGTTGGGCAACAACTTCTACCAAATCTGTCCTGTAGGTCAGGCTCCAGAGATAGCTGGTTTCTGTGTCAATGGCCTGGGGTGGTTGCAGCCCAAGGGTGTTTATTGTCATTTTTTTAAAGATATGAGTCAAAGTGATGATGGGGTGAGTGACATCCTTCTGTAGGTGACTGGTAAAAGGTCACCCAGCAGTCAGAAAACAGGTTAGGCCACTTTGGTGGCTGTTCCAGCCTCCAACAGTGTGTGACTGAAGCCCGAGTTGTGACAGAGTTTACTCAAAACCTGCACAGGATAATTCCCCGCAGGGTGAGATCTAGCTGGGAATGGCCATCTCCTCTGCCTTCCTTAACCAGGAGGAAGGGCGGGTTAATTAAGTTTTATTGCGGCTGCTGAGGCGGCTCTGGGTCAGACGGCGCCCTTTGCAACAAACTTCTTGCTGGGCCACATTACATGCCCACAGATTTTTCTGGCTCTGAGGAGGCTGACATTGAAATTTCCCACAATGCCCAATGGCAAGTTACACGGGGGCCATTGCGGCTATTACAATAGGACCCCTGGACTGCTATTAGTGGCCACTGTTTACTTTTCCCATAATGCCCCAGGGCATTGTGGGATATTAAACAGGCAGCTTCCAGAACCCTAGCCTCTTTCCCATAATGCATTGGAGATATTCTTAGCAAACTAAAATGGCAGCTTTGCTGCCGGGAATACTGAAGTGCCTGAGAAAGATGAGACTTTGCCTGGAGCCCTAAAGATGTTTCCTGACAATATTTGGCCCACTTATGGCAGGGAGGGGGTCCAAAAAGTCAAGATGGCGACCATGAGCATGTGCTTGAAGCCCCATTACTGAAACTCTAGGTTGGGGAGGTTCTGTTTCCTTCCTGCTAAGTCTATTTATGTGTGTGTGCCGGGGGGCGAGGGGTGTTAACAGTGGCGTTTATAGGTTTCCTGCCTCCAAATAAGGCTTTGCTTTCAGTTTTGGGGGGAAAGAAGTCCAGGAAGGTTAAACAAAGTTTGAAAAGAACAGGTTGCGTGTTTCTGTTGTGGGTGATAATTGCAAATCCAGGAAGATTCCCCCACCCAACACCTACAATTCTCCCCTTTGATTCAATCTCACTGAGGCCCCTCACGAGTCCTTTCTTTAATTGCCTGCTTGGGATTAATAGATGCATCAGGCTTGGCAAGGAAGGTGCTCAGAGAAGACCATTAACAACCTAGAAGGCGCGAGACAGACCAAGTCTGCCGGAATACGTTTGCCCACCGTCCAGGGGGCCTGAGACCCCTTTGTGGTTGTTTTTGCTGAAGAAAAAATACATTTTGCACTGAGATCCTGCACTTTGGCTTGACCAAGATTATCTTGGAACAGGGTCTTTCTCCCCACTGCGGCTAGCTCGCGTCCCCGGACGGCAGGGAGAGGGATTCCTTCTGCCGATCCCAAGAGGAGATCCAGTGGCGGAGGAAAGAAAGAGAAGGAAGACACAGAGAGTGCAAAGCGAAGTTAAAGTTTCTCTTCCCCTTAGTCACTGGAGGCCTCAGGTTGTGGGTGGGAAACGCTGCAACGTATTAAGTCCGAAAGCAGCGTGGAGGACAGGAGGAGTCTGTTTCTTGGAAATAAGACACCCGGATTTCCCTGCTGTGGTCCCAAGAGGTTCAGTGTGTGTGTTGTTTGCACTCTGTGACCTACAGAAAGTTTCAGAGGTTGAGAAACAGTGCATGGCAGCTCTCTGCTTACTTGGACAAAACCTCTTCCCTTCCCCTTACGGGCAGGAGAGATGAAGGCTGTGCAAGATAAAAGTCAAAAGACGGCAAGGCCAACCCAGCGCTCTGTGAAAATCAGAAGCTCGAGGTGACCCTTGCCGTGTTTAACTCAGACAATCCGGCACCTCTGAAGATGTTGGATTGCAAACCCCCATCATGCCCAGCCTGAGCATGCTTTGGAGGAGGAGACCGGTCTCACCTAACAGCCGTCGTCGTCCCGTCCAGTGGCAATGAGTTTCAGAGGCTGGTGACACGATGCAGGAAGAGGAACTTTCTGAATCTCCTATCAGTCATTTTCATTAAGACTCTGGATGCACAGAACACACGAAACCGTCGATCGGAGTTAGTAAAACACAATGGCGGATCACATGCCATGCCCAAACAACTAAACTGTAGTTCTGCTTAATGTGACAGCTTGGTTCACACAACATGCCTAGACAATAAACAGGTTCCCACAACAGGCTGTACATTATATAGTCCAAAACGGGTCAATTTTTGTACTGAGATGTCCTGACTAGCTATCAAGTCTAGTCAGACTTTGGAATAATGCAGCGTTGCTCAGACTTGGCAGCTTTCAGATGTGTGGTCTTCAACTCCCAGAAATCCCCACCCAGTGTGGCCATTGCTGAGAATTCTGGGACCTGAAAGTTCCCTTCGTAGTATATGAACTACAACTCCCAGAATTCCCCAGCCAGCATAGCCAATGCTGAGAATTCTGTGAGATGAAGTCCATACATCTGGAAGTTGCCCAGTTTGAGAAACACTGCATTATTCCAAAGCCTGACTAGACTTGATTGACATCTGGGGAAAATCTCTTTAGCAGTTGTTTTTAAAATGGATATTAACAGTAATTATGTCTGTTATGGATAGGAAGGCAGAGTGCAAATTGAAATAAACTGTATTTCCTTTAGCCACACATTGCATCATGTTATGAATCTTTATTACTTTTCGCCCCTTGACTAAAAATCCCCAAAACATTTATTTTTCTTTATTTAAAACATTTCTGGACAGTTTCCCGTCCTTAAAAGAAATCTCAAAGCGATTTACCCTAAAAAGTTACTGTACCATGTTATGAAATCATGCATGTTATAAAAGACATTTTATAAAGCATAGCACAAAAATGTTCAAAAATCACTCAGATAAACATTAAAGCAGGAAGTAACAGCAAAGATTAAAAGGTGTTAAAAACTCACAGCTATTTGAATGACATTATGGCTTGTAGATTATGGCTTATAGCTTCTGTGATGCAGGAACTTCACACATTGCAGCTGAGCAAAAACAGGCCAACACAATATGCCTGGATTTGTATAACACTTAAAAACTCACAGCTATTTGAATGACATTATGGCTTGTAGATTATGGCTTATAGCTTCTGTGATGCAGGAACTTCACACATTGCAGCTGAGCAAAAACAGGCCAACACAATATGCCTGGATTTGTATAACACGGTTAAACTAGGTCAGTTAAAGATGTAAATACTGCTGTATTTGTATGATACCTTATGCTTGGTGAATGTTAACTTTGGGTAGGCTTCTGGTGTCTTAACGGATTGTGCAGAACCAGCCTGTTTAATCTGTTTATGATTCACTTATTGTGAAACTTAATAAAATGGGTTGATTTAGTCACCACGTTAAGCATGAGTCAAAGCAGCCCATCAAAATCTCATCGCTGTTAGTTCAGCTTAGTTTATGCAACATCCTAGTCCCAAACATGGTTGACTAATCTGTGGTTCAGTTGTGTTATATCAGCCTAGCCAGGGTGGTTCCCTTTGTTATGAGAACCTGCGCAGTTGGATAAATATGCTAAACCATTATCTGTGGTTCAGTAGGTTGCACAAACATGGCCTTCGATTGATGGCTGAGGTTCCTTCTCAGACAGTAATATGCTGACTTTAATCAATCCTGGACATTTACAGGTAGTCCTTGGCTTATGCCCATTTGTTCAGTGACTGTTCAAAGTTATGGCAACACTGAATAAAATCGACATACGACTGGTCCCCAAAGTTCCGGCCATTGCAGTGGCCCTGCGGCCACGTGATTGTGATCCGGGTACTTGGGTGTCCAGCTCATGATTATGATGTTGCAATGAGGCCATTATGTGATTGCCATTTGCAACCTTCTCTGCCAGCTTCCCCCAAGCAAAGTCAATGGGGAAGCTGGCAGGGAAGGTCACAAGTTGCTCCGGTAAGTCACTCCCACTCTTTTTCCCACCCGCGTCACACACACACACCCTGCCCGCATGCAGCCTCCCAGGCAAAAACCAGACTAGCAACAGTTATTCTTCTTGACTCAAATCACTGACAGCAAATCAGGGGAGTCTGCAGGGGGGATGAAAATCTGCAAGGCGGTGGGCATGGCATGGCACCTGCCATCATGTAGATTTTAATACCTCCGATGACATGGATACCCCTGCAGCAAATCTGAAAGACCAGCTGCTATAATGCAATAATGGAAGGGGTAGTCAATTCTGTGTTGACTAGGTTGCAGCTGGAATCCTGGCCCAAGTTAAATTTCCAAAAAAGACACAAATTGGAGAATCTCTCAAGAAAGGTCAGAGTGATTATAGGGGCTTCTGGAAAGTGACTTCTCTGTATATGGAACAAAAGGGGGCGGGAATGCATTTAGCCAAGCAAAAAAGAGATTTAGGGAAAGTTTGATAGCTGTCCTCAAATATTGATTTACTTATTTATCAAATTTCTAGGCCAGTGGGAAGATGGAGGTCATGCAAATTTCTAGGAAGATGCTGTGCCTTCTGGGTCCTGCTAGATGAGATTATTTAATTGACAGGACCAGGAGAAAGCCAACTCTGTCAGGTCTTACAGGATGGACAGAAACCCCAGATGGCCCTGAAATAACTAGGATTTATGCCCTGTAGGGCTTTAAAGGTGATAACCAACACCTTGAATTGTACCTGTAAGCCAGCTGGTAACCTGTGAAGTTCACAAAGCAGAGGTGTTCCATGAGCATGGTGCGGATTGCCCATCACTGCTCATGCCCCTGCCCTCTGGACCAGCTGTAGCTTCTGAGTGGTCTTCAAGGGCAGCCCCACGTAGAATACATTGCAAACATCCATCCAGGAGGTGATCTGAAGATCATCCAGTCCAATGTTTCTCAACCTCAGCAACTTTAAGATGTGTGGACTTCAATTCCCAGAAAGTTACTGAGGTTGAGAAACACTGATCTATTCCAGTTGTATGTAGTAATATAGGAACACCAATTAATCCATCCTCAAGAGATGGCTGTCGAGACTCTTCAAAAACCTCCAGTGATGAAGAACTAACAACTTCTGTAGGTAGGGTGCTCCAATATTAGGTTCTCCCTTATATTTAAATGAAATCTAGGTAGCTGCAACTCATTCCCGTTATTCCTAGTTCTACTTTCAATAGGCAGAAGTGGAGTCCCAAAATGGCTCACCTACAGCCCCCACCATCCTCACCATTAGCAGTGGTTCCCTCGCATTTTTGGATTTAGCTTGATCTAAGATGCTGACAGTTTCCCAGTTGAGACTGTGGTTGAGTCTGTCCATGCGTTGTGAGATTAAGGAGTTTTCATCATGTCTTCTGACTGCTGGTTGGTGCTCGTGGATGCGCTCTGCCAGCCTTCTGCCCTACGTAGTGTTTGTTACAGTCCTTACACTGTATGTTGTAGATGACTCCTGTTTTTCCTTCTTGGTCTACGGGGTCTTTTGGTTTGCTTAAGATGTTTTGGAGGGCTTTCGTTGGTTTGCGTGCTACAGTGATGCCATGTGGTTGTAATAGTCGGTTGGTAGTTTCTGAGATGTTTCTGATGTATGGCAGTGTGATCCTTTCCATAGCTTGTGTTGGTTGTGTT